AACATGGAAAAACAACCCACTTTGCCAAATAATTATGAAAACCTATTCGGAAAAAGTCATGTTTTAAAAACAAACCTGTTCGGAATAATGAAACAGCCACTATTCATGAATGTCAAAAATTTTTGATATTTTTCAAAATGTCAAAAAGTATAAATTTTTCATGGTCACACTTACCATGACTTTTGGTGTTCAATCCTTTTGGATTTGTGTGTTCACACTTAAAATAATTTATTGAGATGTGGCTAATAAAATTAACAGAATTGTGCTTATGAGTTCGCAAGCCACTAAGAATAAGGGATGACCATTTTAAAAGCATAACTTGGCTAGAAAAAGCCTGTGCATTTAAATAATGGATTGAGAATGGCTTATCTTTCAAATGATGGCCAGTTGTTTGTTGTCACAATTAAAGCATCGAAGATACAATTCGAGGCATCAAGAGTTGTTTCTTTTTTTGAAGGTGAATTACTTCACATCGAAGCTGTATAAAGCTTCTGAAGGGATACATTCGGAAACATCAAGAGTTGTTATCGAAGGTTGATATTCACTTTCGAAACTGTAATAAACTTTGAAACTTTCGAATGGTGTCACATCTCTTCATAATATATGTAAATGACAATTAATAGTTGTCGAATAATGCTGTTTTGGCTCATAAGTTGGCTCGAAGAACAAACAGTTTTGGTGTTTCGAGAATTAAATAATTGGTTCGTAAACACATAAATTAATATTTCATTATTATGTGTGAACCAGAACTATAAGTTTTGAATTAATACAATGGTTGGCCAAAAACGCTTCGAAAGCCGTTTGCCATAAGTTGCTTTCGAAAGCCTTTTGCCCATAATTTTGTAGCTTCGAGCACTCTATCTTGCATCAACACCACTTCGAAGAGAAATTAATAATGTGCGGTTGTGAACCTTGAAGCTTGTGTCGAGTATTTTTGAGGAATTATTGTTCTCTTTTGTCGCGTTCCATCGACTTCGAAGAATGATTTTGGTCCGTTTATATCACTTCGAAGCTTGTTATATAATTCGAAGTCATTGAGTCATTATTTCTACTCATATCGAGCAACTTTTTGTGTTGTTACATCATTCGAAGCAGCTTTGCTGCTAGGTTAGTCATGTGCTTGGTCGGCCCTTCAAAATTCAAATGATAAACATTCAATTTTTTTAAGGCCGCGGGGGTAATGTAGCACCATAAATCTGCAATTATTACTTTTATTTATTATTATTATATAATTGAGGACACGTGACATCCTCTTATCATTTGGAAGTTTAAAGAAGTTATAGAGATAATGGAGAATATGAAGGACAAAGTGGATGAGTGGAGGACAAATGGATGAGCTGGGGACACATGGCAAGACAAGATTGAAGATGTTAAGAAATGGGTTAGTACTAAGTAGTTATTGCTGTATTTTTTCTTCTATAAATAGCCATTAATGGCTACATTGTAAGAGATCCAGAACTTAAATCAATGACAATTGATTTCAATATTTCTTGTCATTTTCCTTATCTTAGGAGTAGTTTAACATAGATTATTATTTCGAAGCATTTATTTTCAGCATTTCCATTTCGAAGCATTTTATGCACTTTCTTTTCGCAGCATAGGAGTAGAGGTAAGTAATTATTACTTTGATTGTTCACTCAATCATCTTTCTCCGTCCCTTTTTCTTCTTTTACTTTTTCTTTTCGCTATACTTGGCAAATTGAAGTCCTCTTCGTTGAGGCAAAAGAACCGTCAACACAATCGCTTGATAATTGGCTTGAATTTAATCTGTAAGGATTTTTCAATTCTTGCTGGCACGCTCGCATTTATGATATTTTCCTTCGTAGGAAAAATAAGCCAACAACAACCCCACAAACCCCAAAATGATTTGAATCATTCATGTCATTGTCAGACATAATTTTTCAAATAAAATTCAAACACATTAATGGTCAATACATTAGTAGAGTCCTGAGTGTCCTCTTTTGTGAGGGTCTCAGACATTTTTCTTTAAAATATAAGTTCAAAATACAAGTTTATTATGAAATTATATGTTTAAAATGCGATTTCATGGTAAAATGACATATTAAAAATGTGATTTCATATTAATTTGACTCACTAATGTATAAATGTGGGCCATTTCAATATAAAATTGCATGTTCAATATGTAATTTTACCACGAAATTGTATTTTGAACCTGTAATTTAAAAAAATGAATGAATTTGATAAATAATTTGAAAAGTTAGTTATCTACATAAATAGTTTATTTTTTTTCAGAATATTCACAAAAAAAATCGGTAAATTAGTGTTTTATTTCAATAATTTGAATGATTGATTTTGTTAAGTAATTTAAATTTTTTTATTTATATAACAAAATTAAATTGATAATATAATCATAAACATATTTAATTTATTATATTTGTCATTAAAAATAATAAATGATTTATTTTTAAAAATACAATTATCGTTTATTTTTTTGACAAAACTAATAATTTAAATAGATTATGACTAATTAATTTATTTTGATAAAATAGAAGTGCTCGACGAAATAAATTATTCAAATCATCAATACAAGATATGGTGGACTTCACACACCCAAACAACACCCTTCAGTCTTAAAATTTAGACTAAAAAGTATCCACCTCCTAAATTAAGGTCTATTTGAAAAGTAAGAAATAAAACTAACTTTTTAACTTTTTTTGGGTTTCTTTTGTTAAAAAATTGTATAAAAAAAATAAAAATAAAGAGGTAATGTGATCCAAATAAGTCAATAAACTGACTTTTTTCTTAATTGCCAAAATAGGCCTAAAAACGCTATAATAACTCAAATTTACTATAAAAAATATATATAAAAAAAATTTGCATTAAAAATATAATGACTTTTTTTTATAATTATTATAATTTGTTCAGCATTTATTTGTCAATATTGTATTGATTTAACAAGTTCCACCATTCATACTTATTGCCAATACAATATTAACATATAATATGATAAATAAAATATAATAAAAAAAATTGAGTCTCATAACATTATGTATCTTTTTAGTTTAGAGAAAAAGCATGTATAATTCAAGTTCGCAAAATTATGTTAATTTTTTTTTCTTCTTGTCCACATTATCTTTATATTAGTGGTTGGTACACGTGATGTGTATACTATTCAAATATAAAAAGTAAAATAAAAAAATTATTTAATGTTGTATGCCACTCAAGTGATAAGAGTTTTCTTTAATATATTGAAAGTCTAAGATTTGAGTCTCACTTCTCTTATTTATCTAATTTTTTTTGTTTTAAATAAAAAATACGAGGGACATGTGGTATAAGGAGAAACATGCAAGGGTGAAGTTCAGCATTCACTTTAATATTATAGTATAAATATCCACATTTTAAAGTTTGATTTCTTTTATATTTTTATATTTTATTTTTTTCAAATGACAATTACAATTTTTTGTGGTAGCCTTTTAATCTATTTTATTATAATACATATTTCAAAGCAGGGGCGGCTCCAAGGCTTGGTCAGGGGTGTCACCCGAACCCCTGGCTGAATTTTTTTATTTATTTATTATATAAATATTAGATTTTAGGAAAAAAATTAGTAATTGAATCCACTAAAATACAATTTTGAACCCATAGTTTTAAGTCATACTCTTTTGAACCCACCAATTTTGAACCCATATTAGATATTAGCATGTCTTTTTGCTTAAACAATAGTATCAATAAATTGAAATATTTTTGTTTATAATTTTAGAATTTAAATTAATTTGTTGATTTTTTTCTCCGTAGGTGATATAATGATTAATGTGAATTTTCTGTAAGATATATGGTATTTAAGTTTTTGATTGACACCATTGACAAATATTCCTAGAGTCGCCACTGTTTCAAAGCAAATTTCAAACTTCACCACATTTTTGTTTTTCTCTTCAATAATATACCCATTGATAATTACTTTAATAAGTAACTTCTAACAATTTTAAAAACTCAAACATTAGGGGAGAATTTGTATTTTTACCAAACCTCGAGGCGGTGTTTGTTATTTGTCATTTTTTTTTTTGTTTTGGTTAAAGTAGTCAGGAAAAAGAAAAGGAAAAAAGAAAATAAATTAAAATAATTAAAAGATAAAATTATAATATTTAAATTATAATTATTTTACTTTTTATCTCATAGTCATCAAATCAATTAAAAAAAAAAACTATTATCCCAAACATATTTGGCAATTAAGGACTATTTTGATAAGATGGTTAAAAATTATCTTTTAACTTTTACCTATTTTGAATTATATCATCTTTCACATTTTTTATATATTTTTTCAAAAAAAGTAAAAAAAAATTAAAAAACTAAGGGCTGGTTTGGCAAGTTTTTAAAAAGTCAAAAAGTCAAAAAGTCACTATCCTATTTAAGTCACATCATCTTATTTAAGTCACATCACTCTATATTTTATAAAAAGTCAAAAAGTATACTTATTTAGATCATTCCAAACAACCCCTAACTTTTAATCCTCTTTCCAAAAAACTCCCAAGTTAAAAGATAGTTTATTGACATTTAGACTTTTTTAAATCACATTATTTTTTTCTGCACAATTTTTCAAAACAAATAAAAAAAAAGAAGTCAGATTAAAATAATTAAATAGCCAAAAAAATTAACTAAAATAACCAAATTTACAAATGAATCATGGAAAATCTATACATACATATACATCATAGCATATCTACAATAAAAATATGGAAAATCTAACATACATATACATCATGGAAAATCTACAATAAATATGGAAAATCTATACATACATACACATCATAGCATATATCATACATCATGGAAAATCTACAATAAATATGGAAATCTATATCTACATATACATCATAGCATATCTACATATACATCATAGCATATCTACATATCATACATCATGGAAAATCTACAATAAATATGGAAATCTATACATACATATACATCATAGCATATACATATACATCATAGCATATCTACAATAAAAATGTTTTCTGTGTCCTTCTCTATATAAAGCCCTGAAATCTCGATCTGAAAAATTTGAGGGGTTTGATAGCTACTTGCTTTCCCAATCGGGTTCTGCATAAAATAATATATATATTGGAATTGGAGGATATAAAATATAAAAACTTGTATAAATGTTGTTTATTGTTGTTTTGTGTCAACAACACTGCAACCACCGTCCATTTTCACCTCAACTGTTACGAAACCATCCCATTGCATTCACACACGAACGAACTCTCTGATCGGAGCTTTTCATCACCTGCATGCTCAATTTCCCCAATCATCGTCGCCGGAGAATCTATGTGTGTGAAATTAGGGTTTCATTGTGTTGGATTCATGTTATTGGGGGCAAGATAAATGCTTCTTGGAGGGGATCTAGGGTTTTCGTACCTGGTCCTGGTGGTGCTGTTGGTGCTTCCGCTCATCGTCTTCTTTCTCCGCCGCAAATGGCGGATTTCGGTGGCTAGGACCGAGGAGATCAAGAGGCTTCTCGTTCTCGCCTCCGAGGAAGAAGCTAGGGCTGAGTTCGAGGTTTCGATCGCCTACTACGATACTCCTCCTACGGTCTCGATTCCTCGTCCCTTGCAGTATCAGTGCGCTGTGTGTTTTTTCCCAACTAAACGGCTCTGTTCTCGGTGCAAAGCGGTTCGATACTGGTATTGTAATTCATAACCTTTTTCCATGAAATTAAGCTTTTTTATTTTCCAGTATTTTTGTTTACATGTAGTTTAGCTCAATAAATTTGGCAAGTTTTGATCTTGGATTTAATTTGCATGTGATTTTGGAGGAATTATTTGAGAATGGACTTGATCTCTTGTTAAGAAGAATTATAGGTGGGAATTGTAGAAATTGATGAGCTGATACGGTTAGTAGAGAGACGTTTGATTCTTTAATTCGTGTTCGGTTTAATACAGTTTTCTGTATCATCCATATGTTCTGGACTAAAGAAGGAAATTAGTGGTTAAAAATGGACTCATAAGTTGGGGAAGGGAGTATATGTTCCTAAAACTGATTCTGAATTGCCGAACCGTGCCACGCAGTGTACTCAGTTGAGTCATATAAGCAATTTGTCCCACTAAGTTAAAAACAGTCTTAGGGGAGTGACGTAGCATCATCTAAAATACATACAAATGACTTATGAATGTAGTATGAATGTATGTTCATATACACGGCTCATGATGTACTATGCATGCAAAAAAAGCGAAGCAATGGACTGGGGGAGCAAAATAAAGTGACTCATTAAATGCTTTATGGTTATAAGTTTATAACGTTTGGATTCATTATGGTACAACGCCCTGTTTAGCACTATGCTAATCTGAGGTGAACATTATGGATAGGAATGACAGTTGGGGGTTTGATTTAAGGTGAACCTATTGTGCCAGAAGAAACCCTCATCTCCTCTCGACTTTGAACTAGTGACGCATTTGAATTTTCAGTCCTGAACACCCTCCTGGTAAACTTCTCTAAAAGTATCTCCGACTTATCTCATCCTGTCTTGTTTCTAAGGACAACAGATGAGAGGAAGAGTGTTAAATTAAACGGATTACAAAAAATGCATACCTGAAGATGAGGATATGATGGTGAGGATGACAGTGTGACAGAGGGAGAAAGGGTGTTTAGTAGATTTGCAATAGATCTAATTTAAATTTACTGTCTTGTATTGCATTGGAAATATGTATTTCATCTCATGTCTACAACTTTAGTGATGGCAGCAATGGAGGCATTTTCACTATGGCCACGGCGACACGATTTGGCAGATAGGGAGACAATGGCTGGATCTTTGGAGTCGTGAGAAATGAAGAAAATGAGAGTTTAATAACTCGTGGACTTATGTAATGGGGGTAATGGTAGAATTCCATGAGATTGAGTTGTAATTTTGTACCTTTGAAGCATAATTGTGGTGGGTGGTGGTGATCTAAGAAGTACGGACACTTCTAAAAAAGTATGTGTTCTAAGAAGGTAATGTGTCGTGTCGGACACCGTGTTAGACATCAACATGGCATGATACTCATTGGACACTTCCAAACACTTGGTCACACATGAAACACACTATAAATTTGAATAAATAACTTAGAATTCAATGATAAAACAAAAACAGTGCAATTTTTTACCTATTATCCTTGTTTAGCCTTTAAAAATTACTTCTTTGACCTAAATATTCATATATATGACATATAATAATTATTTATTTTTATATAAGACATATAATAAATATATAAAAGAATAATGATTTGTCCCCCTAATTTCCTCCCCCCGAATCCCCCTAATTTCAGAAGAGAGAGAGAGAGAGAGAGAGAGAAGAGAAGAGAGGGAAGAGGAGGAGCTCGATCGTCGTCCTCTGCCCGATCATCGTGTCCGGTAGCCCCTGCCTCTGCCCGATCGTCGTCTCTGGCAGCCCCTGCCTCTGCCTCGCCTCGCCTCCGCCTCCTCCTCCCCGTGGTTATGGCCCCCTCCAGTCCTCCTCCTTCCTCCTCCTCCTCCTCCTCTTTCCTTCTCTTCTCTTCTCTTCTCTTCTCCTTCTTCCTTCTTCTCCCTCGTTTCTGATTGAACCTGGAAAAAAAAATAAAAAAATAAAAATGCAGAAACGACGTTGTTTCTGGGATTAGGGGGATTCGGGGGGACTTTTTTCGAGCGACGTAGCATTGCCGTATATAAAATTATATATTTTTCATGTGTCCCCTGTGTCATATATTTTTTGAAATTGTTGTGTCGGCGTGGCAATGTTGTGTGACGTGTCCGTGTTTCTTAGGCTGTGATGTTCCCAAACACAACTTTAGTTTCCCTCTTTTACCCCTAAAACAAGGGTGGTGTTAGGATTTTTCTTTAGTGGGGGCAAACTAGTTAGCTTGTACAAGAAATGTTTTATGTTTGACATTCGACAGAAATGAATATTTTGAAGCACTAATAAAATTGAACCCTTAGTTTGTCCTAATTTAATATATAAATTTATGTATGTAAGTGTGCTGAGAACATAGGTATTTAATACAACTGTATGTAAATTTATGTATGTAAGTGTGCTGAGAACATATGTAAGTTTGTCCTAATTTAATACAACTGTAGAAATCATAAAAAATGGACCAGTCAATTCACATTCAATGGGGGCAGTTTTGAGAACATTTACAGTCATAGTCAAAATTAATTTTTCCAAAATTTCCATGGGAGCAAATTTGAAAAAGTATTTACAAATTGCAAACCATAGGTAAAACAATATTTTTTTAAAACTTAGTGGGGTCAATTGCCTCTTCTCATCCCAATGTAGCTATACCCTTGCCCTAGAACCTCCGTCTACGTTATCTACAATTGCATTTAACCATCCAAATAGGGTATTGAGGTGGGTCACCTTTAGTGCATCTAGATTACTACTAAGGAGCCATTATTTTACTTGTGATCTGTAGTAGATGAATTTTGAATTCAAAGGCCTGCCTCTAGGATGCAGGAGAAGTTGTTTAGTGGCAAAGCAGTACTGTTCATGATACTGTAGCAGGATTTTTCATGCTACAGTAACTGCTTCTAAGAAAGAAGCTTCTCTCTAGTTTGTCCAGAAACTGGATCATCCAGTATATTTGATCAGGTTGTGCCACATCAGCCATTCTTTCATTCAACAGATCAGATGGTGCCACACATGCACTTAAACAATAGAGCCTAAAATGTAGTGGGTTTTTTCCCAAGTACCAAACTAACGATGTACAGTTGTTCACCTCCCAACCCTGCATGATCAGAAGCCCTCCCTTCCACTCCTTGCCAATGATTAATCCTCCTCCCTCCTCGGTGCAACCCCTCACCCATGACCAGCGTCGTTCCTCCCCTTCACTCTTTCTTCATGGTGAGGGAAGAAGAGGATGGTGATGGTGCCAGCCACAGGTGGGGAGGGGGGAGAAGGGGCAACAGCAGAGAGGGATGGCGCTGTTTGCTTACTAAGACAACATTTTTTTGCTTCTTCACGGTCTCGACCATTGATCGCACAAAATCATTATGTATCATACTCTCAAAATATGGTCTGGACAGTTCAGTTTTTTTGGTAAACTTGAGAGAAGCCAAACCATGTACTCTATTAAGATTCCCCCTCTCCCTCTCTCCTCTTTTCTTTCTTTCTTTTCTTATTATTATTTTTTTTAATGGTCTTTTATTTAAGGGAGAATTACAGCACAGTGGGAGAGAGAAAAAAAATTACAAAAATATAGGGGGTGCATGCGATTCTGTGATGGGGTGCAGCGTGCAAGTGTAACTTGCACCCCTCCATATTTGTGTAAAAAAAAAAAAAAATATGTCCACTGGGATGTAATTCTCCCTTTATTTAAGTTGATATGTGCAGCTGAGGTTAGAATTTTTTTAATAGCTAAGATTTAAAGTTTTTAGGGTTTTTTTTTGCATATAAAAAGGGTTCTAAAAGTTTATACAAGGAAAATGAGAATCTAAAGCTCCGTTTGGTAAGACTTCTAACTATGATTTGAGAATATGAGTTGTATTTTGAGTTTGTATATTTTGAAATTATGATTTGAGTGTAGAAAATTTGTTTGGTTATGATTTTTGAATAGAGTGTTGAATTGAGTTTTGAATTGGATGCGGAATTGAGTTTTCAAAGTTTGATTTGACATGTGAAGTAAGAAAATTTGTTTGGTTATGAGTTTTGAAAAGAGGTTTCAAAATTTAATTCAAATTGTTATAACTCATAACAAAACACCTACTTTCACACTATGAAATTAAAAATTCTGATCAACAGTCATAACCAAACTCTTTTTAAAATTCAATTAATTTTTTTTTATTATTAACAGAAAATAACATTAATCAATTTTTTAATTGAAAATACTACAAATGAAATAAATTTTTTTCAAAATAAATATTCAAAAAATTTAAATCATAAATATTTAAATAATTTAAATAATCTAAAAAATTTAATAAGTAAAAAATTAAAATAAATATTCAAAAATTTTAAATCGTAAAAATTTAAATAATTTAAATATTTAAAAAATTAAAATAATTTAAAATTTTAATATTTTAAATTTAAAAATAACTCTACACTCAAATCGTAACCAAACACATAAAACAAAATTCAATTAAAAAATTATTTTTAAAACTCATAACCAAACACATAACTCGAAACTCCATACTACTTTCACAACTCTACACTCAAATCGTAACCAAATACATAACAAAAAAATTAAAATATTTAAAAATATTTTTATAAAATAGAGTTTGAATTTATTTTTATAAAATATTTTAAAATTAAAAAAATTAAAATCGTAATATTTAAAAATATTCAAAAAATTAAAAAATTAAAAAAATCGTAACATATTTAAATATTAAAATATTTAAAATCTTAACAAAATTAAAATATTGATTTGAATTGAGTTTTAAAAAGAGTTTTAAATTATGTGTTTGGTTATGAGTTTTGAAAAGTAATGATTATGTTTTGAATTGAGTTTTGAGAAATGGGTGTAGAATTATGATTTGAAAACTCAAAACAAACACCACACTCAAGTCAATGGGTGGAACTATAATTAGAGAGGCTTACCAAACGGAGCCTAAAAGATTTCTAATTAGTTTCTCTCTTGATGGTGGTCGGAAAGCCATCGGATGACAATAAATTGAAGAATATAGAAATTTTAGTATAATTAGGAATCATGTTTTCTTAATTGGATTATTTCTAGTTTTATTT